CCCTCCCCTCTCGTCCCTCCCTGGCTGTTCCTGTGTTCCCCTCCCTTCTCCCCCACGGCGGGTGGTGCTGACCCTCTGTCCCTTGGTGTCTCAGCAGGACAGACATGGGGACGTGGATCCTGCTGCTGTTCTGCTGGGCCCTGCTGGGAGCAGCCAGCGCTGGTGAGTGCCGGGGGCACGAGAACGCAGCGGAGCTCCCAGAACCCGGACCCCAACCCCAGGGCCTATGGCATGTCACTGGGGACATCAGGCTGCCAACCCTCCAGGATTGTTCTGGAGTTGCCAGGCATTAAAGATAATGTCATGTGATGAAACTTCCAGGAATTCATCCAACCAGAGTTGGCAACCGTATGGGAGAGAACCCAGGAGTCCTGGCTCCCAGCCCCCTGCTCTAACCACTAGACCCCTCTCCCCTTGAGGAGAGCACCCAGGATAGCTCCAGCCCCGCTCCAAGCGGTGGATCAGGAACTCGGGGTGCAGGGGTGTGGCCACACCCCGGCTTGCAGTGGTTTCCCTCACGCACAGGGTTTGCAGTTTGGTTCAGGGCCCCTGCCCCCCTGTCCCCGCCCCATCCAGCGCTGCTGGGGTCCAGCTGCTCCCTGGGCCCTCAGTGCTTGGACATCACCGCTGCCCCCCCGCCCCCCCCGGCAGGCTGTGCCCGCCTCGCCCCCTTCTCCCAGGCTCTGGGTCACTGGGAGGGGCTGGGGCTTTTGTGCACCAAGCAGCTCGCAGCTTGGAGGGAGCCCAAATTGCAGAGATTCAAAAAGCTCCATCCACCCACTCAGCGGGGGGCAGGGGGGACATGGGAAGCCGCCAGTGTGGGGAGCACAGCCTGGGGGAGCCAGCAGTGGGGGGGGGAGTGTGGAATCCCAGCAGTGGGGGAGGGGGCAGCAGGGCCCGTGGGGAGGGGAGGAGTCAAAGAAGTGGGGAAGTCCCAGAAGCAGGGAAGGGATAGTGGGGTGAGGGGGGGGAGGAATCCCAGCAGCGGGGGAGGGGACAGTGGGGCAAGCGGGGGGGTAGGGGGAGGAATCCCGGCAGCGGGGGAGGAGGCAGCGGGGGGAGGGGGAGGAATCCTAGCAGAGGGGGAGGGGGCAGGGGGGGGGGGGGGGGGGGGGACCCAGCGGGGGGGGGGGGGGGTGTGTGGCCTGGGGAGGTCTAATGGTTACAGCAGTGAACTAGGATTCAGGACCCCTGGGTTCCAATCCCAGCTCTGCCCCAGACACCCTGTGGGACCCTGGCACCCATTCCCTGCCCCCTGGGCCAGCCAGTCCCCCACCCTGGGGCTGGATGGGAGCCAGCAACCCCTGAAGGGCCCCAGGAGGTGAGGAGAGTAGGCTCAGCATGTCAGGGCAGATGCTCACTGCGGTGCCCACGGGGCTCCCTGGTCAGCGTGGGGGGGACCCCGTCAACAAGCAGTCACTGGGCAAGGGAAGAGTTGGCCCGTCTGCCTAGCGCTGGCTGCACCAGGCTGGGGTCAGCTTCACTGCGGCTTTCGGGGGGGGGTGTCTTTTACACCCCTCAGAAATGTAGCTACTCCCAGGGAAATGTTCACGTTAGACCAGCCCTAGGGGCAGGACTCTCTGTCCATGGCTTGGGAGTGGGGTCTAGGGGTTAGAGGAAGGGGAGGGGATTGCTGGGCGCCAGGAATCCTGGGTTCTGTCCCCAGCTCTGGGAGGGGGTGTGTGGGATCAGGACTCCTGGGTTCTTTCTTTGGCACTAGGAGGAGACTGGGGCCTAGGGGTTAGAGCCGGGGGGCAGAGAGGTTAGAGTGCACTCCATGTCTCTAGCATCTCTGAATCCCAGGACAGAGAGATCCTTAATGCCTGTCTCTCTCTCTCTCTCTCTCTCTCAGAGCCTCCCAAGGAGCACGACCCCTTTAACTACGGTGAGTTGGAGGGTCCCAGGGCGGGCGGCTGCTGAGCTAGGCCAGGTGCTGGCACCTGCTGGGAGGGGTGGGGGGTGTCTGTCTGGTGCACTGAGATTAGGTCTCTCTTCGGGGCCAGCTGCAGCAACTCAGGTCTGACAGCAGGGAGCAGTGCATGTCCGCACTGACACACACAGAGCAGGGCCCAGCCCCTCCAGCAGGGGGCGGCAGGGACACGCACATGTTATGGTTGTGTATCAGTGTGTCTCTTTTTGGGTGGGGCAGGTTCCTTCTCCCCCTGAGCCTGTCTCTCCCCCCAGACTATAAATCCCTGAGAATTGGAGGCCTCATATTTGCCGTCATCCTCTTTCTGCTGGGAATCCTCATCATCCTCAGTGAGTATCCAGCGCCCCCTGGAGGGGAAAGGCCCCATGTCCCATCCCCCTGAGCCAGCCAGTTGCTCAGCCAGAGAGGAGGGGGAGTTTTGGGGGGCTGGTTCCTCTAGGTGCTGCCCGGACACCAGATCCCTTCAGCCCCATAAATCCAGAGGTTTGGCTCCATCTGTATCTGCCGGGGGGGGGGGGGGGGGGAGTGGCTAACCCCCACTGTTCCCCCAGCCCCGTTTCATTAACCCCTTGCTGCCCAGGCTGCTGCTACTCAGCACCCCCAACCTGCCAGACCCCACTGCCCTGGAGACGGAATAGAACCCAGGAGGCCTGGCTCCCAGCCCCCTGCCCTAACCCACCAGCCCCCTCTCCCCTCCTGGTGCTGGGATAGAACCCAGGAGTCCTGGCCTCCCCTCTCGCTGCCCCCTGCCCCGCCATCTCGCTGCCAGGGGGTATTTACTGTTTTATCTTTTCTAGGTCGACGCTGCCGTTGCAAATTTAACCAGCAACAAAGGTAAATTACCCCCCCACCCCCCCGGCCAGCAACGCACCCTAGGGCTGGGACAGCAGGGGGCTGCAGATCAAGAGTGAGGGGCTCTGGCAGAGCGGTGGGGGAGGGGAGCCCATTGCTGGGTTGGGAGTGAGAGGCACGGGCTGTGGGGGCTGAGAGCACAGGGACCCATGTAATGTTGCTGTCCCCCCAGGACTGGTGAGCCAGACGAGGAGGAAGGGCCTCTCCGAAGCTCCATTCGCCGTAAGTACCAGGCACCCCGCAGCCTCCCCCAGTGTCGGGTTAACACATGGGCCCACGGGGCCTGTGCCCAGAGGCCCTGGTCAATTTGGGGGCTCCTGCAGGAGCGCCGGAACCTGTGTAGAAGGGGGGGCCCACCAGTGCCTGAAGTGTGGCCCTGCCCCCTGCTCCTCCTCTTCTGCCTGGGGCCCCGCCCCCTGGCCAGGCCATAAGCCGGAGCTTCCCCGGGGAGCCTGGGTCGCTTGTGGGGAGTCCTGGACCCTCCACCTGCCCTGGGTGGGGGGACCCGAGAGCAGTCCCCGGCCTGCCCCCCTGGGGAGCACCACCCAGGGCAGGTGAAGGGTCTGGGGCTTCCCACAGTGGCTTGGGCTCCCTCGGCGGCTCCAGGGCCAGCCTTAGGGGTGGGCCACCCAGGGCGCCACGGTCAGGGGGTGCCCTGCAACTGTGCAGAGGTGCGTACTGCTGGCTGGCAGAGGCGATGGGGGGGCACCCAGATTTCTCCCTGCTCTGGGGTGGGGGGGGAGTGGTGATGCCCAGATACCGCTCACTCCCCACAACCGCCCTCCAGGCCCCCTAGGGGGTTGGGGCGGGGAGGAGCAACACAAGCGCTCCATGTCCAGGTCACTTTCCCCACCTGGGCTGTGCTGCGAGGCATCAGGACCTGCTGCTTTCTGCAGCCCAGGTGGGGAAAGTGACCTGGCTGTGGGGAGCCCTGACGTTGCTCCTCGTTCCCCCCTTCACAGCCCTCTAGGGGCCCCGAGGAGCAACGATGGAGGGGGGAGGAAGCAGCAGACGCTCGGTGCAGCCAGCTCAGTTTCCCCATGTGGGCGCAGAAGAGAGTGCGGGGTTGGGGACACGGGGGGGGCACAGGGCAGGGGTTGGGGGGCGGAGGGGAGTGCAGGGGTTGGGGGCACAGGGCAGAGGTGGGGGCGTGGGGGGGCACAGGGCAGGGGTGCGGGGGCACAGGGCAGGGGTTGGGGGCGCAGGAGGGGAGTGCAGCGGTTAGGGGCACGGGGGGCACGGGGGGCACAGGGCCAGGGTGGGGGGGACACAGGGCTAGGGCGGGGGTTGAGGGTGCGGGGGGCACAGGGCCAGGGTGGGGGTTGGAGGCGCAGGGGGGCACAGGGCAGCACAAAGTAAGGGTGGCAATATACCATATACCAGCCATCCTTAGGCGTTGTCTTTAGAGAGTGGTTCTCAAACGTTCATACTGGTGACCCCTTTCACACAGCAAGCCTCTGAGTGCGACCCCCCCCCATACATTAAAAACACTTTTTTATATATTGAACACCATTCTAAATGCTGGAGGCAAAGCTCGGTTTGGGGTGGAGGCTGACAACTCGCGACCCCCCATGTAATGACCTCGCGACCCCCTGAGGGGTCCCGACCCCCAGTTTGAGAACCCTTGGATAGAGCCGCAGCCGCTGTGCCTGGCCAGTGCTTAACTTTGTTCTGGGGCTGAGCCCGGAACCTCTTTCAATACAAATTAAGCACTGGGGGGAGACAGCGGGGCCCTGGGGAGTGGGGAGACCATGGGGGCCAGGGATGATGGGGGGTGGGGAACCTGTGGGGCCATGGGCAATGTGGGGGGCAACATGCCCACAGGGGCCAGGGGCACCATTTCCCCTAAGGTCAGCCCTGGGCGGCTCTTACCAGGGCCTGGCTCCAGTTTCTGGCCTGGCTTGGCCTAGCGGGGGGGAAGGGGCGAGGGTGGGGGAGAGGAGGAGCAGGGGGTGGGGCCCCAGGGTGACGGGGCGGCAGTGTGGGGGACCCAAAAGTTCTTTGTGCCAAGGGCCCCAATAAATCTTAATTCACCTCTGCCGCCCCTGTGTGACACACTCTGGGGGAGGACATGGCCAGGATGCCGGGATCCTCTCCCCGCCCCCCCCCGCAGGGCTGGTCTGTCTAGGATCTGACCCCAGATCCCCCCCAGGCAGAACCCCGCCCCAGGCACCTGACTCCTTGACTCTTCTCTACAGGTTTGTCCACCCGGATGAGATAGGCGGGCCCAGAGGCTGGTGAGTGGGGCAGGGGGAATGGATGGGACATGGGGCCCTTTCCCCCAAGGGAGCACTAGCAGTGCTCAATTTGTGCCAGGGCTGAGCCCCGGCACCTCCGGGCTGGGCCGTTGAGAGCCCCGGCACCTCCGGGCTGGCTGCATTAGTTATGAGTGTTAAAAAATGACTTGAGCCCCGGCACCTCTTTCACTCCAGATTAAAGACTAGGCGCTGGCTCTCATCTGGCCCTGGGGGAGGGGGATGGGACTGGCTGTCTTAGGGAGGTGGGGAATGGGGAATGGGGTTTTCCCCTCTAGGGGGTGCCGGCTCCTATGAGTTCTGTGGGTCCGAATTCCCACTGTGGCAGTCATCCACATTACATAGAGACCAAGGTTGGGAGCCAGGACGCCTGGGTTCTATCCCCTGCTCTGTGGGGAGAGTGGGGTCGAGAGGGTTAGAGCAGGGGGGCTGGGAGCCAGGACTCCTGGATTCTCCCTTGGGTGGGGCAGTGTTGCTCATTGTCCATACATAATCCCTTCCCGTTTGCTCTCTGTGCAGGTCTCCCCAAGGCGCAGACCCCTCCCTGGATATGAAGAGTGACCCCCTCTTCCCCCGTCCCATGCTGCATAGCCGTAGCACTTAGCCTAGACCAGGCCCCCGCGCTCTGATCGCAGCCTGCAGAATCTGAGCCAGCCAGCAGGGGGCAGTAGGGACACACACACCCAACAGGTCTGATCCCCTCCAACAGGGGGCAGTAGGGACACACACACACACACACACACACACACACACAGCAGGTCTGAGTCCCTCCAACAGGGGGCAGCCGGGACACACACAGAGCGCAGGGCTTGTCCCCTCCAGCAGGGGGTGGCAGGGATGGACAGACAGACACACACACCTGGCAGGTCTGATCTCCTCCAGCAGGGACACACAGAGCAGGGCCTGTCCCCAGCAGCAGGGGGACCCCCCCACACTCTAGGGGTGCTGCCTTTGTGGGCTCTGGGCAGCGGTGCCAAGAGCCCTGTGTATGAGGGGTGCAGGGAGGGGTGACTGTGGGGGGCGGCTAGGGTGACCAGATGTCCCGATTTTATAGGGACAGTCCCGATTTTTGGGTCTTTTTCTTATATAGGCTCCTATTACCCCCCAGCCCCTGTCCCGATTTTTCACATTTGCTGTCTGGTCGCCCTAGGGGTGGCAGTCGGGGTCCCTGTTGAAGTGTCCATCATGGGGCTGTGGTGGGAACAGCTGGCTCCCACCCCTGGGTCAGGGCTGATCCCCGCCAGCAGGGGTCAGCAGAAACCCCCCCACCCTCTGCAAGTGTCCCTGTGTCCAGCCGGGGGCGCTGTCTGTAGTCGCTGGCCGGAGACGGCTTCCCAATAAACGCTACCTGCCCCCCATCTGCCTCCTGGCAATTACTGCCTGGGGCGGGAGTCACTGCGTCAGGCACTGAACCCCTCCCCACCCCTGGCCTGCACTCACCACCACCACCCCCGCTGCCAAGCTTGCTCCCCAGCCCTGGGCTCCCCCCCAGCTCTGCCGGTACCCCTCACCCGCA